CACCACTTGCGCCACCACTCTGCCCTTCTGAACAATCACTCCTTGTTAGGTAAAAGTTTTGGAACGTTTTTTTTCTTAAATTTTCGTTGCTTAAATGTCCCGCTTCTGGCTTATTTGTATTCAGATTGTAAATGTTGTGGATTTGCTCTCCAACACACCGGTGTGCTGTACAAGTAAGGAATTGGCATGCTCTGTTTACGTGACAAACCTTACTCATTGGCTGTGTCAGGTGGTGGCGGGTTTAACGACATATTTTATATTTACGCAATCTAACCCAAACAAACCTATATTATGGACGTATTTGTATAATTATGCATTTCAGACTTTATTCATTGGCTCTATATTAATTATATATATCTACATATATATGTCCGGAAGTCCATTTCCACACACTTGTGGTCCCAATATTTATGCCTCGTCTGGAATAAGACAAACTGTGGTCGATATTAAACTAAACATTTCTTTATCGCGATTATGATTTGCTATTTTTTTTTATTTCTCTTATCTGTTATTGTTTATTATTAATGTGTTTTAGCGTGACTTGTTGAGTTTGTAGTAGAAGCGGCGGTGTTGTTTTTTGTTGATGAACCCCGATTTAAGAGCTTATTGGCTCACAGGGCACTTGAAAATAAACTGAACTGAAGTTAACTGATTCGAGCTGCACTTAAAGTGACTCCTGAGAATTTTGACTTCAGTCACACCCCAGGTCACTCTTACAAACCGAGACCAGATCCTGGTCTTTTGCATTCTCACCGGGCTTAAAAAGAATATTTAAACTTGAAATTGACATCAGCAGCAAGGTATTCGAAGTCCCGTTCGGCACTTGGTCGTGAAAATGGTATCCTCCGCTGAATTATAGATGTCACATTCAACAGCGCAGAAGGATGACGAAAGGACAGTAATTGCCTTCGCGATGAAATCCTTCCGGAGAATTTCTAACCTTTCTTACGGAGATCCGTGCGACGAACAGGGAAGTCCTGGCAAGGACAGACACGGGCAGATATAGTTTGTACAATGCTACCACAAGGTCGCGTCAGGCACAGGAAGCTGCGACCCAGTAAGCGTGGAACGTTGGGACAACGTTGGTCTGAAGGTCCCAACCACAGGGCAACGTTGGTGCCCACCGATGTCTCGTCTACCGGGCGAAGACCCCGGGGCCGTCCCAGGACACGCTGCTGCTGGCGGGGCGATGTCGCTCGGCTGGCCTGGGAACGCCTGGGAATTCCACAGGAAGAGCTAGAGGCTGTGTATCGTAATGTATAGTAGTGTAGTGTATAGTAGTGTAGTGCATAGTAGTGTAGTGCATAGTAGTGTGTATTGTATAGTAGTGTATAGTGTATAGTAGTGTAGTGCATAGTAGTGTGTATTGTATAGTAGTGTATAGTGTAGTGTATAGTAGTGTAGTGCAGAGTAGTGTGTATTGTATAGTAGTGTATAGTGTAGTGTATAGTAGTGTAGTGCATAGTAGTGTAGTGCATAGTAGTGTGTATTGTATAGTAGTGTATAGTGTATAGTAGTGTAGTGCATAGTAGTGTGTATTGTATAGTAGTGTATAGTGTAGTGTATAGTAGTGTAGTGCAGAGTAGTGTGTATTGTATAGTAGTGTATAGTGTAGTGTATAGTAGTGTAGTGCATCGTAGTGTAGTGCATAGTAGTGTGTATTGTATAGTAGTGTATAGTGTAGTGTATAGTAGTGTAGTGCATAGTAGTGTGTATTGTATAGTAGTGTATAGTGTAGTGTATAGTAGTGTAGTGCATAGTAGCGTATTTTCATGTATTCTAGTGTAGTAAATAGCAGTGTAGTGTATAGCAGTGTAGTGTATAGCAGTGTATAGTAATGTAGTGTATAGTAGTGTAGTGTATAGTGCAGATGTGCATTGTAGTGTATAGTGTATAGTAGTGTATAGCAAGGCAGTAATTATAATATATATTGGGGGGGACACATCCCCCCCAATATTCAAATATGCTCAAAATGCCCCCCCCCCAATATATTGCTATAAAATATATTTCTGTTAATATGATTGTGGTTATAGTTGTACTTTATTAAACCCTAATCTCTGCCATTACATACAATGAAACAAGAAAAGGTAAACAAAAAGAAAAAACAGAGCAATGTAATACAATACACTATTAGACATTATTGTTAAAAATAAATAACAAGTCCATCCCATGTGGTAGTAATTTTTTTTATATTTCAGCCAGGAAATTAGTTTTCAAATTTAGATATTTTTTCTGGGGGGAGACCCCCGGACCCCCTGGAAGATTTGCTCCCCCCAATGTTGACTCCATGGCTACGGCCTTGGTGTATAGTAGTATTGTGCTGGAGTCTGTCGCCAGGAAAATGGAGGTGTGGACCGCCACTAATCAACACGCTGCCGCCACGACCCCCACCAGGGCAAGCGGATCGAGAATCGAACGAAGAAGCAAAGGGTGATGGCTGAACGGCTGCAGGGACGTTAATAGAAGAAACACTGGACGGTGCTGGGGGAAGCCTATCATCTGATTCGTAATCGACCAGAAAACCCCGTCTCAACAGAGAGTGCGGGCCAGTGTACAAACTCGTGTAAAAACAAATTTACTGAGCCTATGTGCATTGTGCAAAAACCATCAACAATTCCTGAAGAAGTGCCATTGCAGTCATCTTGTCTTGTATGAATGTGGTAGCCACTCGTGGCTGCAGAGGGGATCATATGGACTCATTACAAACAACCTAATTCACTGCGTAGGTTTTCACGGTTGCGTTGGACAGCTCTCCAATGCAGTGGCGGCTCCTGCAAAATCTCTCAGGGGGGGCAAATGTCTGGATGATTGATAAGGATAAGGTCTACCCATGCAATGGATAAATTAACAGCTTAAGCATGTAAAGACAACTTCACTTCTTTAATATTAATGAAAAATAAAGTGACTCTTACAATACATCTTGTTTGTTTCTATACTCACTATTAATACAATCCACTCAAGTTTCTTTTATTAAAGATTCCACTAGGTGGCGACAAATTATATTGTTGGATGAAACGTGCTTACGTATGATGACGTAAGCACGTTAAGGCGAGCCCTCCCGGAAGCCATAGAGAATGCATTGAAGCGCCCCCCGTTCGAAAAAAAACATCTTTGAATGTAAGTCTATGGGGCCACTCAGGGCGATTCTCAGCCAGAGTGAAATCGCCCAAAAAGAGGCGGTACTCCACAGAACGTGACATGACGCTGATTGGACTATATCCAGAGGCACAGTGACGGCTAGCGTGACTCTGTGGTTGAATGACATTGGTGGTGCGTCGCCCAATCGCCCTAATGAAGAAACCGCCCCTGCTCCAATGGATCCTCTCGATTTCCCATCGTATGCGTTAATGATGATCTTTCTCTGGATACTTCAGTCCCCACTTGTACACACGGGTGACGACCTTTCTCCGGGGTATCCCTCGATGTTACGGGCGTTCGGTCTCACGAAATGTCGCGTTGACGCGATCGACAAATTTACGGGCGCTTTTCTAACAACGAAATCGAATTTCCGAGTCAATGGAATTTCACAAATGGCCACGCACCGCGACATCGTTTAAAACGACATGTCACCCAGGCGAGGCTGCGTTGACCAATCCGCGACAGCGTCACGTGGTGTGTGTCCCTGCAGCGCAAAGCAGCAATGCCTCCAACATCGCCTTGCCAGTCATTCCAATGTGCAGCGAATCTTTTGTGAGTTCCCTGAAAAAAGTTTGATTGTTTTTGTTTTAAATAAATTATTATTCAATCCTTTTCATATTTATCTACTTTACATATGTCAAATTTGTCTTTTGAAAATGTACATAGGTGTAAAAAAAATAGGTTCGGAGTAGAGATGGGAATGATTGTTGCAAACACAATTTCGTTTTACTCGTGGTGGGGTTTGTTGTTGTTGTTGTTGAAGATCGCATCCCTTTTCGTAAACCGAGGGATACCCGTACTCAAGTTTCCCCCGGACCGAAAACAAACACTGGCCAGTCTCCGTCGGAGCCAAGTCGACGAGCGTCAAGAACCAGCGGATACGAGCAGCCGCCGGCCGACGCCTCTCTACATCATTCCAGGGAGATCCGCCAACCCGTTCAATTCAATTTGCCCCGAAGAATCTCTCGTCCAGCACGTGGACCACGAAAAAATATCAGACGTCGTACCGAACACCACACGAAACGACGAGAAAACACAGCGGAGAGAGAGAGCTACAACAGCACGTGCCAGTCGAGTCACGTTCATTCTTCTTCACATTTGCGCGTCTATTGATGCCCACGTATCGTGACGTTGACGACCAATGTCAACCCGACGAACGGGCGCGTTTATCACGCCCCCTAACTTGAATACGTCAGTGTGGTGACGTCACAACGAGCGCTAGCGATGTGGTGGCGTTTTCAACAGAAGCTTTAAAGTCGTGTGTATTAGTCAACGAAGCTTCAAACTAGCGTGGGACGGTCCATGATGTGCGACCCATGTGTGTAGCTACGGAGCTATTTGTCACTTGAGGTAACTTCTTCTTTAAAAGGATCTTCCTTGGTGTCACCACTTTCCTATGCCTCGCCTCTGGGAGGTGGAGGAGAATGGTCGCTTGTGGGTGCTGTCTTCGTGTCTTCACGACTCGTGAACTCTTCACTTGTGCTGGCGGAAGTCACGTCCACCTTGGTGGCTTTGTCAATTTGCTCCCCCTTCTACTCCTGCTCCTGCTGCTGCTCTTCCACCTCCTCCTATTCCTATTATGTTTCCTCCTCCTCCCTCTCCTTCTTCTGCTCCTCTTCCAGGTCCTCCTGTTTATTTCCCTCCACATTTTTCACGAGCCAATCCTTCTGCATGACCACCTCCACCATTGCCACCTCCTCCATCACTTTCTTTTTCACTACTACCTCCTCCTCTTTCTCCTCCTCCTCCTCCTTGGCTACCACTTCCTCCATTTTATCCTCTGCTACCTCTTTCTCCTGCACTTCCTCCTTCCCTTCCTTCTCCTCCTCCACCACTTTCTCCTCCTCCGCCGCCACCACCACCCTCTCCTCTGCCAATTTTTCCTCTGCCACCACCTTCTTCTTCTTCTCCACCTTCTCTCCCTCGGCACCCACCTCCTTCTCCACCACCTCTTTCTCCAGCATCTCACCTTCTACCTTATCCTTTTCCACCACCTCCGCTACCTCCTCCTCCTCCACCGCCTCTGCCACTTTCTCCACTGCCATCATCTCCTCCTCCTTCTCTACTTTATCTTCCTCTGTAACCACCACCTTCTTTACCGTGTCCTCCTCTGCCACCTCCTTCTCCTCCATCTCCTCCACCTCCTTATTGGCTTCTTCCTCCTCCACTGCCATCACCTCCTGCTGCCCTGCCACTTTTTCCTCCGCCACCACCTCATCCTTCTCCACCTTCTCCTCCTCTGCTACCACTTCCTCCTTCTCCACCATCTTCTCTTCCACCGCCTCTGCTACCTTCTTCATCTCCTTCGCAACCTCCTCCTCCGCCACCTCCTTCTCCACCTTGCCCACCATTTTCTCCTCCTCCACCTTCTCCTCTTCCACCACCTCTGCTACCTTCTTCATCTCATTCGCTACCTCCTCCTCTGTCACTCCCTTCTCCACCATCTTCTCCTCCTCCACCTTCTCCTCTTCCACCGCCTCTGCTACCTTCTTCATCTCCTTCGCTACCTCCTCCTCTGCCGCCACCTCCTTCTTCACCTTGTCCACCATCTTCTCTTCCTCCATCATCTTCTCCTCCTCCACCTTCTCCTCTTCCACCACCTCTGCTACCTTCTTCATCTCCTTCGCTACGTCCTCCTCCTCCACCACCTCCTTCTCCACCTTGTCCACCATCTCCTCCTCCTCCACCTTCCCCTCTTCCACCGCCTCTGCTACCTTCTTCATCTCCTTCGCTACCTCCTCCTCTGCCACCTCCTTCTCCACCTTGTCCACCATCTTCTCCTCCACCTTCCCCTCTTCCACCACCTCTGCTACCTTCTTCATCTCCTCCGCTACCTCCTCCTCCTCCGCCACCTCCTTCTCCACCTTGTCCACCATCTCCTCCTCCTCCATCTTCTCCTCTTCCACCGCCTCTGCTACCTTCTTCATCTCCTTCGCTACCTCCTCCTCCTCCGCCACCTCCTTCTCCACCTTGTCCACCATCTCCTCCTCCTCCACCTTCTCCTCTTCTACCACCTCTGCCACCTTTTTCATCTCCTTCGCTACCTCCTCCTCCGCCACCTCCTTCTCCACCTTGTCCACCATTTTCTCCTCCTCCACCTTCTCCTCTTCCACCACCTTTACTACCTTCTCCTTCATCTCCTTCGCTACCTCCTCCTCCGCCACCTCCTTCTCCACCATCTCCACCATCTTCTCCTCCTCCACCTTCTCCTCTACCACCACCTCCGCTACCTTCTCCCTCATGTCCTTCCCTACCTCCTCCTCATTGTCAAACACTAACACGCCTACGATATCTTCATTCATTTCACTCATCAGCTCTAAATCGTCTACATTGGTCTCGCTAACTTTGAGCTCTTCCACAACCTGGGGGCCATCACCTTGAGCGCTGCCAGGGTCAAAATCAGCATCATCACCTCCACTACGAACAGAGATTTTGGCCGAGCAGAGATCCACGGACGTCATTGCACTCTGTGCTGCGTCGCTATGCCCGTGATGAACATCGACGCTGGTGGTGCTGACTCCCAACTGTGCCAGTGCAACGGTGACCTCCGTTACGGTTGAGCTCGTGCCAGCGTTAGTCTTAGCATTGTCCAAACTCCGGTGACTCATGGTGGCCGTGATTTTGACCAGAGCCGAGCAACAGGGGGGTGGTTGAGCAACGATGGCGGGGTCGCAACCTCTATCTTTGGCCTCTTGCCTCATTGCATCCAAAGTGACCTCTAATTGTGCGTACGCTGTGTTCTTCTCCCTCACTGTCAGTGGCATCGCGGTCACCTTTCAGAGTCTCTGACTGCGTCTTGTTTCCCTCCTCTCTTTCCTCAGCTTGCTGGTCTTCTTTGTAAGAGACTGTTCTAAGCGTTGTCTTGATCTCGAGGGCATCCTCTTTGCTCGCTCCCGGTTCTGTCGTCACTAATGCAGCCATCATCGTCTCTTTGCTCGAGTTGGGGTCTGCTGCTTTGTCCTCTTTCAGTTCAATCGCAGCTTCTATTTTGGGTCGACGAGGAAGACAATCCTTTGGCGTGAAGATCAGAAGGAGACTTCAACTCAACCTCCTGGGTCGACTCTTTCTGCTCCTCAATCACGGCCGTTGTTTTCGGGTCACAAAACTCGGCTTTCAATCTCATCAGCTGGACTTGCATGGCGGTGATTTTGGACGTCATGCCCACGATGCTCTCTTGCATTTTCAAGAAGTTCTCTTTGTCGTGAGTGACACCACCTGAACTCACCATAGTGGTCTTCATCATCTCCTCGTCGGACCCGTGGTGCCTCGAGATCTCCACCACATCGGGGATTTTGGCCATCTGCCCAGACGTCGCCAGCGTGTCCTCCTTTGCCACCTCCGCCCACGGTGTCAATCTTATCCGCGTGCAGCTGCATTGCATCCAATTCTATCTTCATTTGGTGAAAGCTGCTTTGCATCTCGTTAATATTTGCCTCAATTTCCTCCAACTCGTCGATCGCCTGTGCCTCACGGTCTGCAGCTGTCAGCATGGCTTCGTCCGACGGAGCGGCAGTTGTCTTGGATACACCTTCATCGTCATTTTTGTCATCAGTGGAACCTTTATTTTCATCCTTCGCGCTTCCCTCATGTGACTTGGCCTTAATGATGTGTGAATTGAGGAAAGAAACGTCACTCGTGGGTGTCAGGACAGCTTCATCCATCGCCGAATACTGCTTGTTGGAAGACTTCCTCTTCGGTGGTAAATTCATCTTTATTTCAGTCACGTCGTCCTTCATGAGAGCGATCATGACCTGTATGCTGGTGAGAGCCTCTCGCAGTTTCAAAAAGTCCACGTGTTGAGTCCCAGCGGGTGCAAAACCGGCACTTGATTCGCGATCATCTGCAACTTCCTCGGCTGTGACCGCATTCGATCTGGTCCCTGAATCTTCTTCATATTGCACGTCTGTCGTGCTAAACTTCACATCGTCCGCTACGTCCTCTTGATGATCTGCAAGAAAACGATAATTATCTTCAACTTTAATCACAACAGATTCTACCTTATCTTTATACATCACCACTTCTGTACCCTGGGGCAGTTCATCTTCTTGCTGCTCCTGCTGCACTTTGAGTTTAGTGTCATCAACTAAGGTGGAACCATCTCCCTGAACTTTCACAAAACCTAAATTTTGTTCAACTTCAATCACATCAAATTCTTCCTTAGCTGTGGCTATCGCCTTTCTAATGTCCATCACATGACGCTCTTCCTCATCTTTAGCTGTCGTCTGTTCAGCTTTTACCACATTAGATATATCCTCTTCTTCAGCTATCATTTTTCAAACTTCCATCACATCAACTTCTACCTCATTTTTAACTATTGACTTTAAACATTTAATTACATCATATTTTTTCATCTTTTTTTCACTTCTTCTCCATGAGATTCTTACTCTTGTCTAGCGATAATTTTGTCCACGTCCATTACCTAAGATTATTCCTGATCTTTATCATATTTTTCGACATCAATCAATATTTGATTCTTTCTCATCTTTAGCTTTCATCTTTCCAACTTCCATTACATCACATTCTTCTTTATCTTTAACTATAATCTTTTAAACTTCAATCACATCAGATTCTTCTCTCTCCGCTTGACCTGTCGTCTTTGCCACTTAAATAACATTACATACTTCACTAATGTAGCTATCGTCTTTTCAACCTTAATCACATCAGATGTTTCCTTACCTGTTGTAGTCTTCTTTTCATCTTCTACCACACCCGCTTGTTTCTTGTCTTTATCTGGGGGCGGTTTGGCTTCCTGCTGCTGCAGTTGCTCTTCGTGATGCTGCTGCTGTTCGCTTACTGTGCCACCGACAGGGCCACCACCATCCACCCGAACTTCCGCAGAAGCGGAATCTTCTTCAACTTCCAACACATCAGATTGTATTTCATCTTTAACGTTTGTCTGTTGAACTTTCACCACATCACATTCTTCATTTTTAGCTTTCTTATTTACAACTTCTATCACATCACATTCCTCCTCATCTTTAGCAATCGTCTTTTCAACTGTAATCACTTCACATGGTTCCTTAGCATTAGCTATTGTCTTTTGAACTTTAACCGCAATAGATTCTTTCTCATTTTTAGCTATTGTCTTTTCAACCTCTACCCCATCTAATTCTTCCTCATCTTTAGCTGTCATCTGTTCAACTTCAATAATATCGGATTCTCCCTCATCTTTAGTTATTATTTTTTCTACTTCTACTCCTTCAGATTCTTCATTTTTAGATATTGTCTTTTCGACTTGAATCACATCAGATTGTTCCTCAGTTTTACCTTCCGTCTTTTCAACTTCTATTCCATCAGATTCGTCTTCATCTTTAGCTGTCGTCTTTTCATCTTCAATCACAACAAATTCTTCCTCAGCTTTAGACATCATCTTTATAACTTCTACCCCATCAGATTCTTTCTCATCTTTAGCCATCGTCTGTTCAACTTGAATCACATCACATTCTTCATCCCCATGAGATTCTCTCTCCTCTTCAGTGATCGACTTTTCAACTGCAATCACATTGGATACTGCCTTAGCTTTAGCTCTCGTCTTTTGATCTTTAATCACATCACTTTCTTCCTTAGCCATCGTCATTTCCTCTTTAATTACATCAGATTCTTCCTTAACTTTAGCTATTGTCTGTTCAACTTCTATCACATCAGATTCTTCCTCAGCCTTAGCTACCATCTTTTCAACTTCCACCCAATCAGATTCTTCTTCATCTTTAGCTAACGTCTGTTCAACTTGAATGACATCACATTCTTCATTTTTAGCTTTCTTCTTTTCAACTTTTATCACATCACATTCCTCCCCCTCTGTAGCTGTCGTCTTTACAATTTCTACCCCATGAGAGTTTTCCTCATCTTCAGCTATCGCCTTTTCAACCGCAATAAAATCAGGATCTTCCTCAGCTGTAGCTGTCATCTTTTCAACTTTAATGGCATCAAATTCTTCTTCAGTTTTAGCTTCCAACTTTGCAACTTCTACCCCATGATATTCTTCCTCATCTTCAGCTCTTGTCTTTTCAACTTTAATCACTTCACATGCTTCTTTAGCTTTAGCTACGTTCTTTTCAACTTTGATCACGTCAGATTCTTTCTCATCTTTAGCTATTGTCTTTTCAACCTCTACCCCATCTAATTCTTCCTCATCTTTAGCTGTCATCTGTTCAACTTCAATAATATCGGATTCTCCCTCATCTTTAGATGTTATCTTTTCTACTTCTACTCCATCAGATTCTTCACATTTACATATTGTCTTTTCGACTTGAATCACATCAGATTGTTCCTCAGTTTTACCTTCCATCTTTTCAACTTCTATTCCATCAGATTCGTCTTCTTTTTTAGCTGTCGTCTTTTCATCTTTAATTACAACAGATTCTTTCTCAGCTTTAGTCATTATCTTTCTAACTTCTACCCCATCAGATTCTTTCTCATCTTTAGCTAACGTCTGTTCAACTTGAATCACATCACATTCTTCATTTTTAGCTTCCATCTTTCCAACTTCTACCCCATGAGAGTCTTCCTCATCTTCAGCTCTTGTCTTTTCAACTTTAATCACTTCACATGGTTCCTTCGCTTTAGCTATGTTCTTTTCAACTTTGATCACGTCAGATTCTTCTTCAGCTTTAGCTATAATCTTTTCAACTTCTAACCCAACTTTAGCTGTCATCTTTCCAACTTCCATCCATTCAAATTCTTCCCCATCTTTAGCTATTGTCTGTTCAACTTTGATCACATCATATTCTTTCTCAGCTTTAGATATCATGTTTTCAACTTCCACCCAATCAGATTCTTCCTCATCTTTAGACATCGTCTTTTCAAGCTTAATCATATTCCATTCTTCCTTACCTCTTGTCATCTCCTGTTTATCTTCTACCACATACAATTGTTTCTTGTCTACGTCAACTTCAGACACATCCGATTGTTCCTCGTCTTTAGATTTAGTCTTTTCAACTTCTACCCCATCAGATTCTTCCCCATCTCCAGCTTTTGCCTTTTCAACTTCAATCACATCATATTCTTCCTGAGCTAGAGCTCTTGTCTGTTCAACTCCAATCGAATCATATTCTTCATCTTCAGCTAACGTCTTTTCAACTTTAATCACATCATATTTTTCCTTCCCTTTTGCAATCTTCTCTTCAACTTCTATCACATCCCTTTGTTTTTCGTCTTTAGCTTTCGTCACATTGATATCTTGGGGCGGTTCACCTTCCTGCTGCTGTTGTCGCTGTTCATGATGCTGCTGCTGTTCGCTTCCTGTGTCGTCGACAGGGCCACCACCATCTACCCGAACTTCCGCAGAACCAGAATATTCTTTGACTTCAAACACGTCAGATTGTTTCCTACCTTTAGATGTCGTTTCGTCAATATCTTTAGGTGGTTCACTTTGCTGCTGCTGCTGTGGCTGCTGCTGTTGCTCCACACTTTCCAAGTCACCAACCGAGGCAGCAACATCCACCTGAGCTTCCGCAGATTTCTCCTGGTTCTTATCTCCCGATGATTCTTTGTTTGATACCGTCTCTACTTGTCCCTCTTGTGGTGCAGCGGGTTGCTTTGGCATGATTTTCAGATGTGTGTCTTCTTCCAACTAGACACAAAGCAACATCATCCATCACCATCATCATAGTGGTGAAAACTCCACTTCTCCCTCCTCCACAACCATTACCATAATTACATGTAGACAGTTAAGAATGATGTAGACGAGATAGAGATTTAGCGAGGGGTGAAGGGTGCAATGCAGTTATCCACATTAAGCAGTCATCTTCGCGAACGAGTTCCCACGACCCCTTAATCTCCCCCTTCTAACCACTACAATTCCTGTTTCTTCTTCATCATCTTTCTCCATGGCTACTACTCATTCCCCATCCATCCAATACATTCATCGTCATTTGCTCTCGTCAATTTTGCTTTTACTTAATTCATGCATCACGGGCTCGCCCATTACTTCCTCGCATCTATTCCATTCACCTCATCTTCACGGTTACATTCATACGTACCATTGTTATTTGTCTACAAAGCGCCTTGGTTAAGGTTAATAAGATAAGCGCTCCGAAATAAAGTAAAACATTTGTTACGTAAAATATCCCCATGTAGCAAAAGCCTCTTGCACAAGAGCCCGGAAATTTGACGAGGCTTCCGTGGAGAAACACCACATTGATCACATCACTGCAATGCGTGTCATGTTGCTGAGTGAATTCTCACCGTAGCATATTCGCCTTCAGATTGCTCAGCCTTCTGAGCCGCATCGGCAATGCCGTGTATCTCACCAGCGTCGCGGCCTTCCTCTGACGCTGTCCAAAGAGGAGTCTTCTGCATGACCGCTGCTATCTCCTCTTCCACTAGAAGAGTTTGTTCAGGGCTAGGTGGGCGCTCCACAACCCGATCCCCTGGTCGAGTCGATGCCAGAGCTCCGTCGGCCAGGTTTTTAGATGTCTCGCTTGAGTTTGTGTCCAGAGAAGTGCAGGTCGCCGATTCTGAGTCTTCATAGCTGAGATCTGAATCGTCAAAGGTGGTCGCCGGTTTGATCTGCTCCAGAACTTGAACGTCAGGAAGAACAGCAGCAATTATCTCAATGATTCGTTTCGGTTCGATGTTGACATCAGAAATGTCACTGCTGTAGGTTGGCTTTGAAGTTTCTTTCAAGGTTTCGTCCATAAATGACTCTTGCCCTACGTTCACTTCCTTCACAGCGCTAACGACTCCCGTGTCTTTTTCATCATCATTATCATCATCCTCTACAGCAACCGCTGGATCTTTGTTGATGGGGGACATGACAAAAGGTTTTTCTTGTACCCCATGGGGCAACTTCTTAGTCCCGACATCAGCTTTGGAGCCATTAATAATTTTCATGTCGGATTTGGCCAATGCGTGAGCCAATTCGTCCGTGCATAATAATGGTGCAGGAGCAACACCCGTTGATCCGTCAGGGACTAATTCAAGAGTCAGAACGGGATCCGGTGAATTGGATCTTTCCTCTGGAGTCATTCTGGATAAATCCACCTTTGCTTTGGAAACGCCTGTTTGAGTGTCAGTCTCGCTGGAATCACCTGGAATCACGACGGCTGCATCTTCTGCCGGTACGAGTTCTTCCACTTTCATCGTTGGTGCTTGAACTCCGACCCGATTTTCTTGTGTGACCGGAGCTTCATCTCCTGTCGCAATTGCTGCCGTCAAATGTGCCTCAACGATGACCGGTTGCTCGGAAACACTTTTTCTTGTCTTCTTCAAGTCCAACCAATTGCACTGCATGCGGAGCATTTCCAGCTGGATTTTCGAATGCATGCTCACAATGCTCTCTTCCATCTTCACTACTTCTGTCTCAGCGATGCTCATCTTCCTTTTGCGCACCGGATGATCGGGTTCCATTTTCTCTTCTCGTGCAAGATACGAGTCTGTCGCCACTCGGGGTGCATCTGCAGACTGTGACCATCCCATATCTGACGATTCCTCTGTGTGTGGAGGTCGAGGGTCTTCAGAAGATGACTCTCTCTTCACTTCAATTTCATCTTTTGGTTGCATCTCATCCTCCACTCGCGTCTCATCTTCTTGCAGAGGCTTATGTTCAGTTGCATCTTCTCGCTGAACAGATATCTCTTTTTCCACTTGAACATCGTCTGTGATGTGTATCTCATCTTCCACCTGTGTCACATCTTCTATCAGAGACTGAATTTCAGTTGGATGTTCTTGCTGTATAGACAAGTCTTCTTTCACTTGAACATTACCTTTGATGTGTATCTCATCTTCCACCTGTGTCACATCTTCTATCAGAGATTGAATTTCAGTTGGATGTTCTTGCTGTATAGACAAGTCTTCTTTCACTTGAACATTACCTTTGATGTGTATCTCATCTTCCACCTGTGTCACATCTTCTGTCAGAGGCTCAACTTCAGTTACATCTTCTTGCCGTACAGACACGTCTTCTTTCACTTGGACATAATCCGTGATGCGTTTCTCATCTTCCACTTGTGTCACATCTTCTGTCAGAGGCTCAACTTCAGTTACATCTTCTTGCCGAACAAAAAACTCGTCTGTCATACGAACACTGTCTGCTTGGCATGCCTCAATACTTCCTTGCGATCTGCCAACGATTGTTTCAAGAGTGTTCATTGTTAACAGATCCATGTAGGCCTGCATTTCTGCTATTTTAATTCTCATCATGGCCATCATTTGTATAACATTCGTCTCCTCCACTTTAGCTTTTTTCTGAACATTTAATTGTTCTGGTCCTGATCCTGACTCCTTGTTACCGCCTTTGTTCATGGGTTCCACCACCGTGGCTCTAAGAATCATGTTGCACAGAGTGGCTTCTTCATCTCCAACACTGGCTTCTGATTCTCCTGCTGCTACTGCTGCCGCTCGTTCTCCATCAGGTGTTTCATCTGACGGTGGTGGCTGTTGTTGTTGTTGTTCAATGTCATGCTCATTTTCCTCTGGTTTCTGTTGCGCTTCGAATCCCTGAATGAACAACAACAACCACAAAGTGAGAGAAACATTTTAAAAGCCACGCCGCCTCCCCCCGCCCCCCCGGTGAAGGATACCCCGTGCAAACGGCGCTTTAGAGGCATGGGTTTGGTGGATCAAATTTGAGAAGTTTACGAAACTCCAAACTCACCGGGCCACGAAGAGTTGTTTGCAACACATCCTGCACATTAGAAACAAAAGATTGCAGCTCGCTCTTGCTATGACTCACAGGGTAAGATTCTTTTGAAAGGAAGAATTGGGAACACCTGGGGAGGGGGAGGGGCTCTGTTACAGGGGGTTCACTCTCGATCTGCTCTTTCTCTACATAGTGTGAATTTAGCCAGACACCCCATTTTAATTTTCCCCTGTCCTCTTCTTCTCCTTCTACCGTCTCTCTATCCTCCTGACTCCGCCTTCGCCCCTCGTTAGCCCTCTTAAATTCCTAAATTATGGATGGGTGCATGTAGGGGGATTATGCCTGGGGACTGTGAGGTGGTCAGGAAATAGCATTGCACCAATGGGATTCTGGGACCTTTCTGTGCGAAGCTTTGAGCGCACCACCTTCCTGTAAGGAAGGCAAACCTATTTTCGATTGGAAGCTTTCGTGACTTCAGGGATTCATCTTCTTGGTTCTTTCGGTAAAGTCACGTAGAAGGGAAATAATAAAATAATAAACATTAAATATAATCAAATACAATTCTCACGAGGTTTCGGCCACAATGCAAGCAGCCGTCCTCAGATGAAGAACAGGTCTGTCGGAAAGACAGCGTCTGAATGTCTTCCCGACAGACCTGTTCTTCACCTGAGGACGGCTGCTTGCGTTGTGGCCGAAACGTCGTGAGAATTGTATTTTATTATGTTTTATTTTTATTATTTTATTATTTCCCTTATACGTGATTTTACCGAAAGAACCAAGAAAATAAGAAAAAACACTCGCCAATGACATTTAGCCAAACACGTGGAAGTTCCTGTGGCTTTTCCTGTTGCAAATGATGGGAAATTAGCATCCACTTCAGAGAAGGGCTCACCTCAGCAGCGACTGCTCTCGGTTCCGGTGATTGAAATGTTTTTTCTCCAGGGATGAGGTCATCCTCCGGCAATGCCACCTCATCGTCATCGAGGGACGCCGCCTTCAACAACATTTGTGGCTCCTCTGCGATCGCGTCGATGGTGTCTTCTGCCTGAGCAACAGTCAACTCTTCGGCGACTGAGACGTTTGCACCGAGCGAGCGATTCTCCCCATTGCCATCATCGTCTGGTGGTGCTTGTGTCTCATCGGTGCCTTCCATCGCCCCATCCGGGTCACCTTTCTCCAGCTCTTCATGGGTGACATCAAGAACCGAGTCAGCTGTGCCTTCTGCTTCTCCACTCAACTCATCTCCCTCGTTCTGAAGGGCAGCATCCTGGGATGATGATGATGATGATGAAGGAGGAGGAGGAGCAGGAGGCGCAATGAGCATGACAGGACGAAGATCAGGATCAGGATGAAGTTCGAGGTCGGCCGAGATAACATCGGCGATTGGGACATTGGCTCCATCTTGGGTGAGGGTGTCGCAGCTGATCACCGTCGTCTGAATTGTGGTCATGTTGAGCTTAATCTCGGCAACCTTCTCCCGGATTTTGGTAACCATGTCCCGGAAGTGGATATCGCCTATTGTGTATGCTGCGGCCTCCATCGGAAACGGGGTCATTTCGATGGACTGGACACTCCTCTCATCTTCCTCCTCCCCCTCCTGCTCCTCCTGCTCCTCCTCGAATTCCACCACCGAGGAAGCCTCAAATTCTGGCTCCGGATCCAGGACGGATCCCGGGACGGTCATCGTCGTGAACAAGGAGTCTAAGCTATCCTGCATCCTGTTAATCTTCGACTCGAGATTGGCGAATCTCTCTCGCAGAGAGTCCACAAGTGCCTTGCGTTCGTCTAATGCAGCCAGCTCGGCGGGTTGTAGAAGGGCCTCAAAGACATCTCGCTGATGCTGCTGCTGCTGGTGATGAGGTGTTTGCTTCTCTTGCACAGCAACGGGTTCGGAGATGGTAGCCGTGTCTTCAACATGGGATTTGACCAGAGGTTGCGCTGGAGTTGTGTCGGGACTGACGGTTGTATCAGCTGTGATGTCCAGCTGCTGCTCTTCTTGTTGTTGTTGCTGCTGCTGTTGTTGTTGCTGCTGTTGTTGTTGCAGCTGCTGTTGTTCATCGTTGCTCAGCTCCTGTTGGCCGTTGGAGACATGCGCAAGCAGCGACGCAGTGAACGGAATGAGGGGACAAGGCGGCAGCAACGATCACCCAGCAACCAACATCACCACCACCATCACCCTAACTTTAACCAGCCTCCAAGTCTATCAATACCTTCATTTCCACCAGCATCACTGCCATCACAACCTCCAACACTACTCTCTGAACCACCATCACCATCACAACCTCCAACACTACTCTCTGCACCACCATCACCACCATCACAACCTCCAACACTACTCTCTCCACCAGCATCACCACCATCACAACCTCCAACACTACTCTCTCCACCAGCATCACCGCCATCACAACCTCCAACACTACTCTCTGCACCACCATCACCGCCATCACAACCTCCAACACTACTCTCTGCACCAGCATCACCACCATCACAACCTCCAACACTACTCTCTCCACCACCATCACCACCATCACAACCTCCAACACTACTCTCTGAACCACCATCACCATCACAACCTCCAACACTACTCTCTTCCCCAGCATCACCACCATCACAACCTCCAACACTACTCTCTGCACCACCATCACCGCCATCACAACCTCCAACACTACTCTCTCCACCACCATCACCGCCATCACAACCTCCAACACTACTCTCTCCACCACCATCACCGCCATCACAACCTCCAACACTACTCTCTCCACCACCATCACCGCCATCACAACCTCCAACACTACTCTCTGCACCATCACCACCATCACAACCTCCAACACTACTCTCTGCACCAGCATCACCGCCATCACAACCTCCAACACTACTCTCTCCACCACCATCACTGCCATCACAACCTCCAACACTACTCTCTTCCCCAGCATCACCACCATCACAACCTCCAACACTACTCTCTGCACCACCAACACCACCATCACAACCTCCAACACTACTCTCTGCACCACCAACACCACCATCACAACCTCCAACACTACTCTCTTCCCCAGCATCACCACCATCACAACCTCCAACACTACTCTCTCCACCAGCATCACCGCCATCACAACCTCCAACACTACTCTCTCCACCAGCATCACCGCCATCACAACCTCCAACACTACTCTCTGCACCACCATCACCACCATCACAACCTCCAATACTACTCTCTGCACCACCATCACCACCATCACAACCTCCAACACTACTCTCTCCACCACCATCACCACCATCACAACCTCCAATACTACTCTCTGCACCACCATCACCACCATCACAACCTCCAACACTACTCTCTGCACCACCATCACCACCATCACAACCTCCAACACTACTCTCTGCACCACCATCACCACCATCACAACCTCCAACACTACTCTCTGCACCACCATCACCACCATCACAACCTCCAACACTACTCTCTCCACCACCATCACCACCATCACAACCTCCAATACTACTCTCTGCACCACCATCACCGCCATCACAACCTCCAACACTACTCTCTCCACCAGCATCACCACCATCACAACCTCCAACACTACTCTCTCCACCACCATCACAACCTCCAACATGACTCTCTTCCCCAGCATCACCGCCATCACAACCTGCAACACTACTCTCTCCACCAGCATCACCACCATCACAACCTCCAACACTACTCTCTCCACCAGCATCACCACCATCACAACCTCCAACACTACTCTCTGCACCACCATCACCACCATCACAACCTCCAACACTACTCTCTGCACCAGCATCACCACCATCACAACCTCCAACACTACTCTCTCCACCAGCATCACCGCCATCACGACCTTCAACACTACTCTCTGCACCAGCATCACCACCATCACAACCTCCAACACTACTCTCTTCCCCAGCATCACCGCCATCACAACCTCCAACACTTACTCTCTGCACCAGCATCACCACCATCACAACCTCCAACACTACTTTCTTCCCCACCATCACCACCATCACAACCTCCAACACTTACTCTCTGCACCACCATCACAACCTCCAACACTTACTCTCTGCACCACCATTACCGCCATCAGAGCCAGCAAGGCCTTCTCTGCTGGCCTAGAGATTGTCAGAATTAGAAAATTGTAGTTTTATAATTTAATATATATTTCCATTAATGCGCTATACATTCTACAAAGTTCGTTCCCATCAGTCTATTACCGTCATTTCATTGCTACTCTCTCCCTCAGGTGAGCTGCTTTCAGTGCAGCTCATATAAATTAGAGTTTTTATCCAATCAGATTATCCACCTGTGCTGTCTCCGCCTCCCCGGGTGAAAAATCTACCCTGAGGCCTTCAGAATGTCGAGTGAATCCCCTCTGCTGTTGAAGCAAATGGGGACGATGTTGTTGATTGTCATCTTCTTTAACCAATCAGATGTCGAGTTTGCCATTGTTGGGCCTATTCTTTGACACGCCGGAGCCTTCTAGCTGGCCTAGCCGCCTACGTTATTAGCCTTGTTCGTGTGGCGTGATTGGAGGGCCAGTCAGCTAACTGAAGTAAAACTAGCTAGCACGTAACGTAGCATCATCTAAGATTTATTTTAACTTTCTTTCGTGACGTTTACATTTTTAGATGTAGTGCTTTAGATATTCTTTTTTTCTGTGGGGAAGCCTGTTGAATCTTGATTGTGTTATTTGTGTTTTACGGCATTTTTGCTTGCTTAGTGGTCGTATGAGTAAATGTGACTGGTTGTGAGTTTGTTCTTGTTTCTTTGGTAATGACATTGATTTGGGCTATGCGATGTCTATTTGTGATGCAGCATCCTGTCATACTGCGTAATAGTGGTACATCCTTGATGGTTTCAGTCACCATGTATTCACGTCTCTGCAATTAGTGTATTGTAACTCTCATAGGTGTTGAGCCTCGTGTGAAACCACTTTAATCCACTCGATAAAGGTTACTGTCACTGTGAATATTTGGTGGTTACGTCGAATGACAATAGCCTGTAGCCCTCGTGTCATGGTGAGGTTATTCGATGGCGTTTTAATTGCGGGAGGAAAGCACTGAAGGCCTAGGTGTAAAATACACGGTCCGTCACTGCCACCACCATCACAACCTCCAGCACTACTCTCCACCACCATCACAACCTCCAACACTACTCTACACCACCATCACCACCTCAAACACTACTCTCCACCACCATCACCACCATCACAATCTCCAACACTACTCTCTACCACCATCACAACCTCCAACACTACTCTCTCGGGCATCACCAACATCACAACCTCAAACACTACTCTACACCACCTCAAACACTACTCTCCACCACCATCACCACTATCACAACCTCCAATACTACTCTCTTCACCACCATCGCCACAGCAACTAACCCACCATTATCTCCGCCATAAATACTAATACCACCTCCACACTACATCACAACAATCACCACCTCCATGTCCACCACTGCCACCTCCATCATCACCACCACCACGACCATCACCACCACAACCATTGCCACCATTATAAACAAGACAAAGATCCCCCGTATAGCCTTGACAGACTTTTGGAGAAATTGCTGTTAGCGGGCACCTCTGAAGGCCAGCACCACACCAGGCTGCCCTTGTTTCCATCGTGTCGAGGCTTACGCACTGCACCAGGTACTCATTCGACCCTGAGTCGACCTCGGAGAGGCCTAGGACCGGTGCAAACAATCGTCACTGGTTTCGATTTAAAGCTTTCGTGACTGCAGGGATTCATCTTCTTGGTTCTTTCGGTAAAGTCACGTAGAAGGGAAATAATAAAATAATAAAAATAAAACATAAAATAATTCTCACGACGTTTCGGCCACAACGCAAGCAGCCGTCCTCAGGTGAAGACCAGGTCTGTCGAGGAGACAGCGTCTGAAGGATCGTCACTGGTGTTGGTGGCCGTGAGAGGGAATGGAACTCGCGTCGGCGGGCTCGACGCGCTAACCACTGCGCCACTGCTCCCCAAAACCATAAACACCCCCCCACCATCACCACCATGAACACCACTCTACTCCTACTGGCCTCAACCGACGCCAGCTACAATCCACAGCCCATGGCGATGCTGCTGCTGCTGGACCCTTGCAAAGCGATGCGGTCGGAGGAGTTTCGTGGCCAGGACTCACCGGGTGGCAGACGCTCAGAGTCCGATCCTTGAATTCTGAGCCAGTTTTTGAAACAGCCTTACAAACATGATAATTGATCATTGTTTTTTTACCCTTTTATCTGGCAACAAAACTGACAACTTTTTTTTTACAAGGAGTCATGTTTGCATAGACCACAATACCTGCAGTCATAATGCAAAAAAAACATAACTGATAATGTATGCACTGTCCTTGAAGTTGATTGGTCCACACCCGAGACAGCTTTGCTTAGAGCCTAGTCTCACATGGTGTTGGACCATGACTTACAAACAATTTGTGCTTTCCTCCAGCATTCGTGATGGACTGAACTTGACAGGAGCGTGCGATGGCAAACGTTCAGACTTACGACGACGGCCACCGCTATCAGTACCGAAGATAAAGATCCCCCCACCCCTGTATAGCCTTAAAATACTTCTTGTTTTTTTCGGTAAAGTCACGTATGTAAAAAATAAAATAAATTAAAATGAAAACTTAATTTCACGTATGTAAAAAATAACATAAATTAAAATGAAACTAAATTTCACGTATGTAAAAAATAAAATAAATTAAAATGAAAACAACTAAATTTAGTTGTTTTCGTGCAAAGCGATGCGGTCGGAGGAGTTTTCATTTTCATTTATTTTATTTTTTATCTACATGACTTTACCGAAAAAACCAAAAAGTATGGATCCTTGCAGTCATGAAAACTTTAAATCTAGAAGCCTTAAAATACTTTTGGGGCAAGTGCTGTTACCGAGTAGTGCCTATGAAAGCCGGCACGGCACACGAGGGGGGTGGGTGTCCAATACCACGCCCGGCCGTCTTTGTCTCCCCAGTGCTGATCTTTACACACCGTGCCAGGTAGGTAATCGTTTGAGGCTGAGTCGACCTAGGGGAGGTCC